TATGAATTATATACCCTTCACTTACAATTTATCGTATAAACATTGAACGACTAGTGTTTACTCCAAGAGGTAATTACAAAAAACACACTAGTACAGCGAGAACTCGATTATCCGGTATATGATGGTCGCGGGTTCGATTCCTCGCACGGCACATTTGTATTAATCTGTATGATTGTTTGTATCGGTCTGTTTTCTATCTTATAATATGTATGTATTTACAAAAAAATATATATATATATGTATTTGTAACAGTTATCTAGTACCCATAACACAAGCTTTAGCTAGCTTAACTTGGGTCTGGCATAACATAGATGGCGCTGTATGAGATTTGTCTGTCTTGAAATTATTATTATTAGCTATCTAAAAACAATGTACACTTATAATTTTTTTTATTAAATTTGATTGCCATTGGTAATCAGGAGACTGAGAATTCACTAACTGATGTCCGGATAATCTCATCTCATCTGTACATACATCATAATTAAAAAGAGATAGTTATCACATTTTGGAGTATTTATATAATTGTATCTAAAATTGTAGTACTTTCAATTGTCATATAAAATTGATTTTAACATGCGAAAGGTGAATTTAAATCTTCTCTACGAACAATGTCACTAGTAATTTTTATAAAAAATACCTATAATTGCGATTTAATACAAAATAAAATGTTGTAATATATGAATTTGCTGTCTAATAGTAGAATTAAATGCAATCTACTATGGGACCGTCCATTCATCACGTTGTTTTTTTAGCATTTTTAACCCTTCCTTATTAATTAAGAAGCCAACATGGAGCTAACATGCTCACTATTAATCTAGTAAAATTTTAAAATAAAACATGATGTGACCAGTTTTTGCAGAATATATATAAAATTAAGTCCACAAATATGTGAACAATAATATTCAGAAAGGAATTTGATATAAGTTGACGGGAAAGAGATGAAAAATTTAAAAAAAGGGTTGAAAAACACCTTTTTTCAATATTACTCAATAACGGTAAGAAATATGAAAAATAGTTTTAAATAAAAGTTGTAGAGAAAAAAATTCTGCACAAAACAGGTCCTCTTCATTTTTTCATTATCTGCTGTTTTTTAGCCACAATAGCTTAGGATCATCCTAAGCTCTTAAATAAGTAAAGAGAATAAATACCTTCCTTAATACGTTTTTAGACTAACAAACCCAAAATCTAGTGTATTTGTAATACCTATAAATGATCTTAAAATTTTTAGATTACTCTTTAAATACAAGTATACATTATAATCTAGCTAACCGCCCCGGATTCGCACGGGCCTGTTATACACATAAAACTTCCTCTTGAATCACTCTATATATTGCTAGAAAATCCGTTGTGTAGTTTAAAAGATCTAAGCGAACAGACAGCGGAAGCCACTACATTTTATACTTTGTAAAGATTTTATTCTAGCGAAGTCTAATATTACAAGTCGGTATAGAAATCGCGGGTTTGACGATAAAATAGATACAGTTGGGGTGTTGTAGTATGATATCAGATACCCCCTTCTAATATTTCATGATTTTTAACCAACTACCCCTCTTTAGAGCCTCACGTGTTAAATGGACGGCCCATATGCATGCTATCTCTCACAATATAGATCATAGAATTATTAACATCCTCAATCAGTAATAATTTAATTATATTTACAAATTCTTCAATACCGTAAACATAGAATACAACAAACGAAAGTAGATACGAATTGTGATCAGCTCTTCAACTACTAATAGTGCGACAATGTTATAAGTTTCTAAAAATCTGGAAGCATTTCATCTATTTCTTTATTTAAGTTTTCCATTGAATCACATATTAAAATGTCTTGATTTACAACAGTAATTGAGAGTATTTATATAGAGCTAGTGAGACAATGTTTAAATTTATTTAATTATTAATATCACCATGTTTCATCTTTTATTCTTAGCTATATATTCCTGTACTTTCGTTTGAAACTCTGTTTTGTTCTTATTGTACATTTCTGCTGCTTCTATATTGAGTGGATCCTCAAAATTCAATAGGTCCTGAAAGTTGAAACATAGTCTTTGTAAAGGTGAGGTTTTACACTTATGTTTGTATGGTAAGTGGTAAGAACTATTTATTTGTATACTCAAGTAAGTATTAAACTGTAAGCAACTAACTATTGTTAATTTTTTAATCATACAAAGTATATTAAATGTAAGATTACACAGATGTTTAAAAGAACAACAGGCAAGTTTATTGCCTGTCCTTGACTGAATTTGTATTCAGAATTGGCAATAGAATAAACAAAAATCTAATATATAAACTATTGAAAGCTTCTTAAAATTATAACTTGTAAATAATGTTTATTCTTAATAACAATATTTTTTTTTTATGTGACATTACAACAAATTACAACAAACAACAGTGAATAATGTTTAAAGCCATATTTTTATAAAAAAAAATCAGTATAGATCTTTAGAAACTTCATTTAATAGTTTATTTCTCTGTAAGGCACACACAATTCAAATTGTAGCATTAGGTCAGTTTACATAGTAAAGGTATTGTGGTATCAAAGAAATTCCTGATGTGCATCTAGTAAGTTTACTTAGGAGATGGACACGTTTTTTTTAATAAGTGTGTTTACCAAAGTTATAAAATCAGTAAAATACACATATGGATCACATATTTCAGTAATTTATTGCCCTCACAGTTGTGTCTGGGAATAGCTATTAACAATAAATTTCTCATACCGTAAATAATGAATTGAGGCCCCAAACAACGTCTTTAAGTCTCCGAGTTGGTGCCCAGCCATGTTCATCTATAGAAGTCTGTCTTAGTAAAGATAAGCAAATGTCCCCATCTAGATTTATGTTGGGGTGCCAGAGCCTCGTCACACATTTTACTTTTGGTGGCTGAAACATACAACAATATTATTCAATTAGTAAAGAATTGAGATTTGTAATACCAATAGTATTGGTGCTTAAAAATAATCTTATTATTACTATTATAAATGCAAAAGTTTGTGAGTATGAATGTTCCGAACTTTCTCACAAAAAAACTTGGTTTTTTATGAAACTCTACATGAATATAGCTTATATATCAGAATAACAGTTCATGAGGGTGATACTGGTGGCACAGCTACAATAGTATTTTCAATACCATTTCAATTAAAATTTTTTTTTGTTTATAACATAGGGGACAAACGAGCATGAGGCTCACCTGATGGTAAGTGACTACCGCCACCCATGAGCACCTGCAACACCAGGGGAATTGCAAGTATGTTGTCTGCCTTTTAAAAAGGAATAAGCTCTTTTCTTGAAGGTTTCAACATTATATTGTTATAGATTTACAAGTTACTGGTTTTTTTTTGCAACTGGCTCACAAAAGGGAATTAATGGAATAAGTTTTTAACTGAACAACCTGGATAGACTGTCAAATTGTTTTTTTATGAATATAGAATGATGCTTCCTCCAGTGGAGAGAACCAAGCATATGGCCTACAATAAATTAGACAAATGGTAATTGGTTACCAGAGTATATGGTCACATGCGACACAGGTCAGTCAATTCATTATGGTTTATTATTAATGAATTACCCATGGTTTTCAGGAGAACCGCATGGAGGTCAAACATGCCTCTTTTGACCATGAAACCACTAGATTTAATTATTAACGGTTATTAATGTGGACTAATAACCCAATTGTTAGCAATGTACCATGTCAGGTTAACCTCAATGTGGTTCTCCCTGGAAAGCATCGAGATAAATTGCTGGTGAATTAGTTATGATGGGATATCTGACCTGATCTCATGTTCATCTTATCATCCACTGGTGCCCCGCCAGCGTAAACCGTTAGCGCAGGTGGTGCACCATTCCATTATCATACATAAAAAATATATTCTCCCCTATATTAAGGGTTATTTACCAATTACAGTCTGTCCACTGGTAGCTGTTATATATATACTTACAGCCATATTGTAGTCGTCGGTAACGTATACACTGAATTTGAATTTGCCACCCAACCAGTAACCTTCGTCGGGGGTAACAGTCAAAATGAACTCACTAAGGACGTTGGGGTCCTCGAAGTGCACGGAACAAGTCAGCGGCAAATTCTCATTCATTTCCTGCACCTCTTTCACTAATAGTTTGTCCCTCACTGATATCCTTCGTAAAGGTTCATTAGTTATGCCGTTATTGGTTTCTGTATGTTCTTTTTTTAATTTCCTATTAAGCGTAATCATTTTATCTATTCTATAAATAATTCACAATATCTAAAATTTAAATCATTAAAACATATCAACAGTAAAATAAAATAAAAGTGAAGTATGCCTTTTAATAATCAAGAAAATATGCGAAAATTGGAACTGGAAAACGAAAAGTTGCAGAAATGTTGTTAAGAAATGAAAGCGAAACTGACTGCAAAATGACATTAACGTCAGTAAAGTTATCAAAGCAGAGTTAACTACTCTTTAGTCTTTCCCTTTATATTTAGCTTCTCTGACTTTTTGGCGGGAAGTCAAATAGAGCGGGTGTTTTAAATATTTTTCCTTTATTTTATATTTTATTTATATTCAATAATTTGTATATATAGGTACAACTAACATAATTTGTAGTTAATTACAGTCCTAAAATGGGAAGTAAGCGCAAAAAGCGCAAAGCCGATGATAATTGCTCCCCAGAAAATTCGAGGGATGTCGACAGTCCAGATTCTGACTCCTCAATGGATGAGGATAAGTATAAAGTTTTTAAAATCGATAATTACTGTCGCCAATATCCTGAGGATGGAGGAAATTTTGAATATATAGTTATTTATGAAAGTACCGATACGAGGCCTTTAGGCGACAGAGACCTTATGTCCCTTGGCGCCTGTCTTAAGCGCCAAAGCAAGGGTATAAAACGTTTCAAGAGAATTAATAAATATAAAGTTGGAGCCATTTTTGAAAGGCCAGGTTTAGCCAACATAGCATTAAATAACACCAAAGTACAAAAAGATTTACATGTTAAAGCCACAATACCTGCAACATTAACAGAAATAACAGGGGTCATAAAAAACGTACCTATATACATGTCAAACAAAAGTATTTACAATGGTATTTCCAGCTCCAGAGACGTCGTCTCGGTGCGCCGGTTTATGCGAAGAAGTCGTGATGAAGATGGTAACACAAGTTTTCTGCCCACCCAATCAGTCGCCATTACCTTTGCCTGTCCCACACTCCCTACGAATGTCGATATCAACTCATGGTATTTCGAGGTAAGCGCTTACACCCCACCAGTAACACAATGTTTAAAGTGCCTGAGATATGGCCACATTGGTAAATTTTGCAAAAATACTCAACGTTGCTCAATATGTGGAGAAAACCATCATTTTAAAGATTGCACTAAAAATAGCACAGAAGCTGTATGTCTTCACTGTAATGGTAACCATATAGCTATCTCAGCTGAATGCCCAATTAAAAAGAAGAAAATACAAGAAAACAAAATAAAACACAAGACTGTTCCTTTCTCTAGTTTATTTAATGAAAAATCTTTTCCATCTTTAAACACTAAAACTAAACCTACTGACAATATTAACACATTATTGCAAAATGATGACTTTTTAAAACTAATCATTGCATCAGTTATTAAAATTATTTCTGTTAATAAAACAGATGACTCTCCCTTAAACTCAGAAGGCATAAAAAACATAATTTTAGATACTTTTAAGATTTCCAGTACTAACACTAATTAATAGTATCTCTTTAATGGATAATATTTTAAATATTATCGAGTGGAATGCCCAGAGCTTGATAAATAATAGACTTGCTTTTACTTATTTTTTATATAACAACAATATACATATCGCCCTTCTTTCTGAAACTTGGCTAAAGCCTTTCAAAAACTTTAATATCAAAGGTTACAATATAGAAAGATTAGACATTGGTAATAATCATAATGGTGTAGCCATTCTAATACAAAACAAATTGAATTATGACAGATTAAATACATATCACGATGATTCTTTGCAAAATATCGCTTTAAAATTATATTTGAAAAATGAAACAATTTCTTTTGTTAGTTTTTACAGCCCTACATCCGCAACGTCACGTAACTTTACACATTTACATTTAGATAACTTATTTAAATCTATCCCGTCACCTATGATAATAGCGGGTGACTTTAACGCCCACAATACCACTTGGGGTTGCTCTAGAACCGATTCTAGAGGCACTATTCTTCTTAATACTATTGAAGACAATGATCTTTGTATAATTAATAATGGTCAACCCACTACTGTAGGCTCTGATATATGGAGTCCAAGTGCTCTGGATCTTACAATTGTTTCTGCCTCTCTGTCACTCCGATGCAATTGGTCTGTACATGATAATCCTTTAGGGAGCTATCATCTTCCAACCATCACCCACCTTTTATGTAACACTGTAAATACAAATAACATTTCCATTAATCATAGTAATTTTTTTAGGCCAAATTACAATAATGTAAACTGGCTTGTATACCAAGAGACTGTTGATAATAAATTATGTAATGAATTTAATTACGATCCTTCCACCCCTTTAGACTCCTATAAACAAATGTGCAATATTTTAATAGAAAGCATTAACACAGCTAATAATTCACATGGAAATTTAAAACATTCTTTAGTCTGTAATCACAAGACAAGACTTTCTTTGCCATGGTGGAACAATACTTGTTCTCAAGCAATAGAATTATGTAAGAAAACTTACATAGATTTTAAAAATAATCCCAATCAAGAAAATTACATAAGATTTAAAAGACAACAGGCAATCAAAAAACTTACTCTCAAAAACGAAAGAAATGCCAGCTGGTTAAAATTCTGTGAGTCGATCAATCGGCAAACTCCTCTATCAGTTATCTGGAATAAAATGAAAAAATTTAATAAAACATTTAATAACAACTGTTCACTTATATCTTCAGACACTGATTGGATTTCTCCTTTCTTAAGTAAATTTACATCCAAACCGTCAGCCAAAAGTAGACCCAACATACAGGTATCATTAAATAATAATAACAGCTTCATTATAAACCCTTTTACTATAACAGAATTTTACAGTGCCTTAAACAGCAGACGTAACACAGCTTTCGGTCTTGACAATATCTCTTACAAAATGTTAAAGACATTATCATCCAATTCTAAAAACACTTTGTTAATGTTACTTAACTCTCTTTGGAATACTTCAGAAATACCACCCGATTGGAAAACAGATTGTCTGATTCCTATTCTTAAATCAGGCAAATTGATAAATCATTCAGACTCCTATAGACCTATAGCATTAACATCTTGTATGAGTAAACTTTTCGAACAAATGATTAAACAAAGGTTAGAATTTTATATAGAATCAAATAAGTTATTACCTTCAAATCAGTTTGGCTTCAGGAAAGGTTTTTCAGCTACAGAGAGCTTAAATCATTTAAACCTAGATATTCATCGTGCTTTTGTAACAACTGTGTAGTAACAATATACTGGTTTCTGTCTTCTTTGATATAGTTGGTGCTTTTAACAATGTTAATCATCATATTCTAACTAATGAACTGCAAACACTAGGAATACCAGATAAGTTGATTAACTGGATTTTTAATTTCCTACATAATAGACAAGTCTATGTTAAGTACAATAATAATTTATATGGTCCACAATCTTCATATATAGGTGTATGTCAAGGGGGAATATTGAGTCCACTGTTATTTATTTTGTATATTCATAAAATTAATATTATTCTTGGTAATGAAGTCAGCAATTTACAGTTTGCTGATGATTTAGCAGTTTACTGTTCAGGCTCAAATATTCATATAGTAGAAAATAAAATAAACAAAGCTCTAAAGAAATTAAATGTTTATTTTAAATATTTACAATTAGATATTAGTTTAGATAAAACTAAAGTTGTTATATTCAGTAGATCAAGAACTTTGCATGCTAATATTAATTATAATGGTAGCATACTGCCTGTAGTAGCTGAAGCCAAGTTTCTTGGTGTAACATTAACAAAAAATCTATCTTGGAATAAGCATGTCTGTAATATATCTGATAAAGCTTCTAGAGCTTTTAATATTTTAAAATGCCTTTCCAAAACATTTTGGGGGGCTGATCCAAAGATTTTACTTATGTTGTACAAATCCATAGTCCGTTCTCACTTTGAGTACAGTTACCTTTGCTTTGCTTCCAACCCCACACTCTTAAAAAAATTAGAGACAATCCAAAATAATAATTTGCGTCTAATCACTGGTGCAATGAAAACAACTCCAATAGTCTCTCTCCAAGTAGAATGCAACATTCCATCTCTGTCATTAAGATTCAAATTTCTTAAATTTAAATTCTTGCTAAAATTACATAGCTTTTCCAATAATTCACTGTTACAAAAAATTACAGATTCTCAAACCATTGCTTCTTCTTCTAATTCCATAAAATTCCCATACATTCTCCTTGATTTCTCTGCAATGAAAACTATAATTGAGCAAAATAATATTCATGTGGCAAATAATAAGTGGGCATGTTATGAAGGGACATATGACAGTAAATTTTGCAATATGACAATAGAAACAGATAAGAACTTAAAATGTAAAGAAGAAGTTTATGAACATCTTTCTCAATGGCCTTCATTTAACACAATATATACAGATGGTTCAAAAAATGACCAAGGTGTGTCATTAGGTTTTTACCATAGCGACATAAAAACTGGTTATGGATTTCGATTACCTACCATTACTAGTATATTCACTGCCGAAGCCTTGGCTATTTTGCAAGCTTTGCATTATATTAACGAAGACATATGCGCTAAACCTCATAATCAGTGGCTTATCATTAGTGACAGCATGTCAGTCTTATCAGCGTTGCAAAATCATTCATTTAGTGCCAAAACAAGCTATATTATTTACCAAATTAAAGAACTATGGACTGTTTTGTTTAATAAAGGAAAAGAAATTATATTTACTTGGATACCGGCACACAAAGGTGTGACAGGTAATGAAGAAGTAGATTACCTTGTCAAAACTGTCAATAGATTGGGTGGCGAGTCTAAAAAAATTTTCTTACCTTGGCAAGATTTAATTCCTGAAATTAGGAAAAACTTATTAAAAAATTGGGAAGAAGATTGGAAACGTACTACCAAAGATAAAGGTACTTGGTATGCAGGTATAAACAGTACTATTGGCAAAAAACCCTGGTTTATTCAGGGAAAAATATTTTTAGAGAGAAGATTTTATACTCAAATTTGTCGACTGCGATTTGGACATTGTAAATTCAATGCACATTTACACCGAATGAAGATCATTAATTCTCCGATTTGTCTTTTATGCTCTAGTAACGAAAATCAAACATTAGAACATATATTTTTTTATTGCCCGGCCTTCAATTTAAACAGAATTTTGCTCATTGCCAAGCTTCAAGAACTATATAAGATTATTCCGCCATCGCTTCAAGAACTATTCAAATGCACTGCAACTTTTAAACCAATTTACGACTTTATCATAGCAACTATCGGAGAATTATAAACATTTCAATTATGGACACATACAAGGACTTAACACAAACTTATAATTAATGAAAAGATTTGGCGATATCGCCTTGAAGAATTTTTGAATTTCATGGAAATACTACTGAAGATTAGGCTGTATGGTCTCGTACCTTTGCCTATCCACTTGTGGATAAAATATACCACTACTACTACTACTACTATTTAGCTTCTACAGTACGGTAGTGTTAATTGCTCTATGTTTAATCTATTCAAGGTTCCTTGCATCCAGAGCCTTAAAACCAATTAAAAAGAATATAGTGACATGATGCGTGAGTCATGATCAGCTGTGTTATTAAAATAAGAAGAAATACTATATAAATATTTTCAATAAACTATTTAAAAAACAGCAATAACTGGAATATTATGGGTGAAATATCGTGGCCTTGGCAATATAACTTTCCTCCCTTTTTTACGTAAGTAAATCTTATTCTTATTCTTAATTGGTAACTTAACAAAAACATGAATAATTTGAGAGATTCGTGGAAGTACATCGGTGAAGGGAACGCCCATATCGTCATCGAGATATTAAACACAAACTATGTACTTCGTTTAAAAAAAGAACACGGTAAACGGTTCGATTTGGATAGAATGCAAGAGTCGGTGGATTTCGTTAATATGGTCATGTCGCCTTTACTATTTGGCGGCAACGATATTCTTAATCAAATTGTCCAAATTCCGGCTGAACAACTCAAGGAATTAACCGAGAAACTTTATGACATTCGTCCTGAACATAGAAGATATAAATCGACATTGAACTGCTTCGCTATAAAGTCTATTAATTTGACTATGATTGATCCACATAGTGTTACAAATTATTGTATCGAAATTAAACCTAAAGAAGGCTACATTACGTCGAGTTTTAAAAATATTTCAAAATGCTATTACTGTCTAAAACAGTGTCTTAAACATGAAGAAGGACAGATTAATAATACCAGCAGATACTGTCCTTTAGATTTGTTTTCTGCAGACCAAACTAGGATGAGGAATGCACTCCTAAACTTGATAGATAATCCACAGAATAACTTCAAGTTATTTCTAAACGGCAACATAATTTATAATGACAAATCAGCAAGAACTGATTTTGATACAATTTTAAGAAACATGCTTGTGTTTGATAGTTCTCTTGAGTTATTTCTGAGTTTCATTATAGAAATATTACTCGGTAATAAGAATATTGTGGCCAATGATGCCAATAAAGCAGTGCAGGAGAACACAAAAATGGAATATTGTGTTGAAAATAGTAAAATGGAACCTGGCGCGATATTATACAAACTTTTGCATCTTCAAAAGTTGTCAGAAGATAAACAAACTTATTCAAATATAGATAGTGATGATTTTGAATATGTTAAGAGCATTTTAGACCTTTTGAAAGTTAATGCACTTGATTTGAGTGTTGAAGAAGACAGAGAAAAATTCTTCTCCATGTGTGAGTCTGTACATTTAGGTATGATATCAGCGGTTGCCAAAGACTGCTCTATAATGTTAAGCTTTACACCAAATTATGATAATAATTACCCATACATTGAAATTGGGGGACAGAAAATATCATATCGATTGTCTATCACAGATTTAGAACCAAAGTCAACGAAGACATTACTTAAAAGAAAAGTCACAGAAAGAAAGTTACTTGATTTATATAAGAATATGGAACCTAAAAGGGATTCATAATAAATTGACAGTGTAAGTATTATATTGAGAATGTTGATGAATATTAGACATTTTTCACTATATATATATATATATATATTGTAAATAAGATAAAGTTAATCCTAAACTTGCCTAATAATAAAATTGCCATTTACCAGAAACAATAGAAATGTGGTATTGTTGAATACAGGCCACATAGTCTATGTTATATTTATAAAGACGAGTCTATGGTCTCAATGATTGATGCTGAAGCTTACTGGTACGGAAGAGAGTATAAATATTATTACAATGGATGAGTCTTTAGTCTCAATGATCACACACACATTTCAGTCACACACACACACAGTCATTTTAGCTACCAAACAGCTGTGGCTAGTAGCTGTAAGCTGTGTTTTGGTTGAAGGGTTGGTTTGGTTGTATCTCTACAGCAGTTATTTTACTATATTAATAAGAGAAATATTTTAATAAAATTTTTCTCTTCGTCCATTGTCAACTTAGACTTGACAAAGAGTAATACATTCTTATTATTTTAGCAAATAAACCTATATATCGAAATTCAAATTCAAAATATCTTTATTCATGTAGGTATTACAGACTCTTATGATATGTTAAATCTACCGTCAGTTCAGAATGATTTCGAGATGAGATGAACTGACTTGAAACTCAACTTGTATTCTTTTTAAATAAATGTTGTACATGTTTTCAAGAATATATTAATATTTTTTCCCAAATCATTTCTGCCAAATTTGAATTTGAATGACAGATTTTTCAAATTCAAATTTGGGAGAAATGATTTGGGAAAAAATATTAATATATTGTTTCTTCTTTCCAGAATTCAACCACACACAGAAACTAGAATAAAGCAGTTAGAGGCATGGCATCAGCTCATTGTAGAATATTTAAAGTCCACAAAACAATCCACCATAGACATAAGAAAATCACAGAACACTCCGCTATTCAACAATACCTCAATTAATAGAAAGTTGTCACAAGAAGCAATTCTAATAATACTTGAGGATATGGCGAAGACTGGTCGAGCGGCGCCTATTGATAAGAGTAAAAATATATGGGAGGTCTACTGGCATTCTCTGGACGAGTGGGGCAATATGATATACAGCTGGGCTAGTAATAATGGTTTAAATAATTCAGTATGCACTATATTCGAATTGCGCGAAGGTGAAAACACTGTTGATGAAGGTAAGACTGATTTTTTAAAGTTTTAACAAAGTCAATCATCATTAAATAAAAAATGGTAGCCTGGTTCTCTCGGTAGATGTTAAGGAAATTGTGACAGATGACTGAAGTCAGTTTGCTTAGCTGAAAATGACGAATTCACCAGGAATCAACAACGAAAGTTTCAGAGGGACGGTAAAAATAATACCCCTGGATAATTCAAACAACGCCATTTTGTCCCAAAATAAATAGAGCTTGTGTTATGGGTGCTAAACAACTGTTATAAACACTACATTTTAAATACATACATAAACATCCTAAACACAACATCATTTTGGGATATAAAAAATAGATTATAGCTGATTGGGTAGGTCTGATCTACCCGATATGCAAACAAACTATCATAAAAATCTGTAAAGCCGTTTCGGAGGAGTTTGGTAACAAACATTGCGACACGAGAATTATATATTAGATTAACAATGTTTTACAACTAAACTGAAAAATTGCTGCAGTGTACTTTATATATATTTTGTCTTCTCTTGCAGAGTTCCACGGTCTTGATGTAAATATATTAATAAAAGCGCTAAAAAGACTGGAAACAAAAGGTAGATGTGAATTAATGGAATTCGACGACAATCAGGGTGTGAAGTTTTTCTGATCCACCCCTTGTTGTTAACTGATTACAATCAATTACTATAAGTACATTTATTTTCAAATATAAAAATGTTGAATGCATTTTGTTAATTTATAAATATTTTAATGTTGCAATATATTTGCCTAAATTTTATTAATGTTTTTCATTGAAATTCTCATCGCTGTCTCGATGTAGACATCATTTTGAGGAAGGTTTATTTAAATCAAATGTTTATTGACTACCTGAAAGTAGCATATTAATGCTTTTTTGTGAGGTGAAATGCTGTAAGATTTACTTAATTTTCTTATTACTAAAGTCATACAATTCCACCACTCTCGAAGGATAAAATCAGAGGCTATCTGCTTTTGTTTATTGGATGATAATGGAATGGAAGCAGACGGCTGTCTGCTGAGCAATAGCAGGCGGATGCATGGGGGCATAGGGCACCAGTGGAAGACAAGATGAGCATGAGGTCAGGTCAGTTAGCCCATCGTGGTAAATTCACCAGGAACCTATCATGATGACTTTCAAGGCACCGCACATGGTATGTACAACTAGCAATGGGTTAGTACACTTTACTAACAATCCTAGTGTGCCTAGTATTATAATAGTCTTGTCTGTGGCAGTACTATAATGTTTGTAATCAATAGACAGGCATTTTGCATAAAGGGAGGAACTTGCCTGGCTCCCCTATTCTGATGGACTAAGATATTCGGAGTGCTTTCGAGCCAAGAACTGAAAAGAAACACGGCTCTTATTCTTTTCAAATCAGTTCGTACAATTACAAAAATATAGATTTATTATTAAATTTAATTACGAGAATATGACCACCATCATGATTTTTTGCATACATCCTTGTTTGTTGAATAAAAACACACAACAAAATTGGAAATGTTTTATTTCATCCGTGTAAAATTGTACAGGTTCAAAATTGACTAATTATATTAAATTAACACGACCATCTTACAATTTACGTACATTAGAAACATTGTAAAAGTGAAAAAACTGTCATATATACACACATTGTAATTAGAACATGGAATGTTAAAAATTTGGGCAGTAATTTATAAAAATTTATCAACCGTTGCATTTGCTATTTTTTAGTACAGTCACTTGCAAGAATATAGAGTAGTATGTGGCGAATTTACTTATCATCGTTGGCTAGTTACAACGCTAAAAGGAAATTGTAGCCTTGTCATTTGAGACCGAATCTCTTCTTGTATTCACATCACATCTGTAAATATCCCTACTACAATATACATAATGTAAATAGGTACATAAAATCTTTATTCGTGTCGAAAATATTTCAAACCAAATGCAATAAACAAATATGCGTGCGAGGAACTGAACATGCGACTAAAGTAAGGTGTGCATACCGCTAGACCACTGAGACCACCAATGTGTAGAATAGTGTTAGACATAGACACCTATATAAATACCTATGCATTGTAAAAAACTGGATTTAAAAAAAAAGTAATTCAATTGAGTTTCTTGCCAGTTCTTCTCAATTGGATCTATATACCGAACTGGACGGTAGGGAAAAAAATTCTAATGTAAAAACTTGACGTTCATAAGCGGCTAAAATATCCTACATGAATAAATGATTTTTGAATTTGAATTTGAATTTGTAGATGATATGAAATTATCCAAGATAACAACTATGCTCGTAAATCTAAATAAACATAGTTATGTTTATTTAATATATGTTGATCTTTTTTTAAATCTCAAGAATATTACTGATTCTAGAATATACCATCTCTCTATATTTTCACAAATGTCTGTATTCTTAAGTTTAGTGTATATATTAAACAATCAGTCTTTAAACAAACGCTTTCAACAACTATTGATATTGTAAAACACAACAAATAACTATCTTAACTTAGACAATGTACATAGTAAAACGTCCCTACCTTAATTACAATTAAAGATTTAAAACTTTGATACTATACGTTTGATTATTATTTTCATTCAATATTGTATACTTAAGTAATAGACTTCTGTTGCTGGATATTGTATTGCCATCAACGGCGGATACAGGGGGAGGGAGTCATGGGGGTCATGACCCTCCTGAGACTAGGACTTAGGTGGACCACTAATTGAACATAATGATTTTATTTATATATTTTGTCACCATACAGATTTTATGTAACTACAAACCTTCAATATTTAGTTAATTATATTTAAATAGTGCTTCTCTGGATGTCTTCAAGAGAAGATGGCAATATGTACGTGTATATGTACAAGTTATTATGTGTTAAGTTTTTCAAGTGTACAATAAAGAATAATATTTTAAGTACAGTACTTACGTGCATTAATATAATACCTACTTTTTACTTGTATCTATTCTTACCAAAATTAAATTATAAGTTCTTGACTTGACCACGACTATGTGACCCCCTCCTAGCGCCAAAACTGGATCCGCCCTTGATTGCCATTCCAGAAGACTACGTTTGATAAGTCTTAAAACGGTTGACCGAAATATATATAATTAATACTAAATACAATCTTAGCTATATATTTTATAAACTACGACATCACAGATAATTTACAACAGAAGTAATGCATTTTGAAATAATACAACAATTTTACATTCATTACAATTCGCCAGAACTTAATACTTTGATGCATATTCATTATACAACATAATTATGTATATATACAAATACCTAATACTTAATTATAACAGGATTGTTGTGTATATAAAACATACAAACATACGCACAATTTATTCTCAAAAGAATAAAACATGCTTCCATGTCGGTTTATTAAAATCTGATCTATTATCTACATTATTAGTTACTAACAAAACAATGTGCTAAATTACAGATCAAACCAAGCTTCTAGTTTGTTAGTAATTCTTGGGAATGGCTTTTAAAAGAAATTACAGGAATTACCTGTACTGTACCTAATCTTGGTGGCATTTGGGAAGCTGCAGCATATACTGCAAAACAACCGGTCCAACAGCAATTTTCTACTAATAAATATTTGTATAATAAAACAAATAACATGTATATACAACACAACATAATATTACAGTCTTATTGTCTAAACGTACGAACACAAGAAAGTCCTATATATGTTCATTTATGGATGCTGAATTCGAACCTACAAATGTTCGCTGCACTCTAATGCCGCATTACAATACCCGTTACCGACTCTTTCCACTGTGCCATTGGCGGCTGTTCCATTCGCGAGGTTACCGTTTGTCTTCTCAGCACATACGACTAGATCCACTGAAGGTACTACTGCGTTGGCAGTCTTACCCCCGGGCGGACGGTAGAACCACCACGCAAGGAAGAAGAACAGGACTGAACAGAGTTTACCTACAAGGGCTAGCCCTAACATGTACCTGTGAACAGATAAATATAGAAGAACTTTAAAATATATCATGACTGCTGTTATATATTATACTAGCTGTACCCGCGACTTTGTCCGCGTGGAATTTAACTTTATTTTTCTAAAATAAAAGTAGCCTAAGTTACTCCTTAAGGTAGCTGATGTACAGCTACCTTCAAATTGCCAACTCTTAAGAAACCTTACTATACTCTTCTTTAAAAATCCCATGCTGTAGTCTCTAGAGAAAACCTCGGGATATAGTTCATTTCACAATCTAAGTGTTTGCGGGAGGAAGTTCCTCTGAAACCGCACTGTCCGAGACTCTTAGGTTCCAGCGTGCAGGGATGAATCCCTTGTCTATGGCGATGGTAGCCTTTGGCATCATTTCCAACAATTCCTCAGAACGCAAGCAGTATTATAATTATATCTTTACCGTCCGTAAATATATACATAATATACACAGAAAACAGATGATATGATTATTGTACCAAGCGAGGAATCAAACCCGCGAATAAGGAGGCTAAACCGCTAGACCATCAAGATTGCCAAAAAAGAAAGCCCAGTACCTGCTCATGTTGACGTTGTCATACAGCTGGCAGGCACCAGTGACGTCACATGTCTTTGCCCAAAGCGAACACGACAGGTCGATGAGGAAGCCGAATAGTAGAGGTGCAGGGATGGTCCCTAGTAGGCGCACCTTTATCCATTGGATACCCAGTGCGAACGATCTCTGATCTTCACGGACACATCTGTAAAAACATTTATTATTCGAACCATTCCAAAATAAAACCTCGATTATATGACATACAAGAATAAAACATATAAGCCAAAAGGACGCCACAAAGAAACCGACAAATTTTACTCCGAACCCGTGGAAGGTCTTATGGCGGCTGAAGGACAACTCCTGCCTGATGGATACAACTTTAGTCTGAGGGCACCGCTAGTGGTTCGAACCTCGAACTTAGGCCGTCGTAATTTGTATCCCCGTTTGAATTTGACCGTAATGATTAGTCGTAAAACCGTACCTTAATGTCGCAGTGAGAGCCGGCATCGTGGCCAGGAATGTGAACAGCATCACGAGGAACGAGAGGAACACGAACAGCCAGAGGTACGGGCATCCAGTATTGCATATACTGTTGATAGCCTCGTACGGTATTGTATCGTTTGTTTCTGAAAAATGCACATTAGACGTGTAAGAAGCAATCCACCAAATAAATCCGGTGCGAAGGACTAAACTAAACATTTCTGACTTATAAAATATTTTCGTTTATGTAATTCAAATGGCAAACAAGCCCTGATGGTAAGTGGTAACCACCGCCTATATACATGAATACTACGGATATCACGTTATCATGACATTATTGTGATACCATCCACGTATTGCCGTTCCGGAAGAAAAGGTGGCATGCTTATTATTTTATAATTTCACTGCTTTTTCTCGCTCTACAACAGAAACATAACTACCTCTTGTTTCTTTTTCACGACTAAACGGCTGAATGGATCTTAATGAAATTTGATAAGATAGGTTGCTACTGCAAAGTTAGAATTGTTTACCTAACATTACAGTATATAATAGTATTTACATCCGGCTCGAAGGACCATTTGTTTAGGATCCTGAATTAAATTTATGTGGACTGTATCAACTGATATATTTAACTATCACATTTAAATTACCTGTCTACCATTTTTTATCCTCTATTTATAGTGCGTTATGCGTTAGAAATAAAGGGGCCCGGTAGACACGCGGTCACGATGGTGCAGTGGCAAGTGAAAGTAAGTCGGTGCGGGGCACCGTTCCTCTGCCATGTCTGATCGCTCAAGTGCTCTTCGCCCTCGCTAGCAGTGTTCGCGCGAACAAAATGGTCGTGGTAACAGTGAGGGTAGTGAGTGGTGGGTGGTGGATGGTAGTTACCGTCCGAGAGGCTGTAGAGCGGCAGCGGGTGGTCGGCGGGCGGTCGCACGCAGCCGCAGTGGCGGTAGAGCTGCGCGGCGCCGGCCAGCTGTCGCGCGCGGCAGCCCGCGTGGCAGGGCGAGTAGTACACTGCGGCGTCCGCACCGCACACCGGCGCGAACGCCGCGCCCTCGCACCCGCACCCCGCGTTGCACTCCGCCACCAGGCGACCGCCGCTACACATACCACCGCCGCTTACATTTATTAAACGAGTACATCTACGCTTATGTTATCCGTCATGCGTTACTCTCGTGGATGACGCAAACAAATTCATGTACCATCTCTATCTGTGATTTCACTGTAATATCTCATTCTTCCTTACAAAACAAACTTGGCGTCTAAAATAGGTGAAAAAGATCCATGCAGTTTTGGTAAAACCTTTATAACTATCCTCATTATCATCATCGACGACATCATCATCATCATCATCACCATCATCAACATCGTCGTCATCATCATTACACTCACTCACAAAACATTTGGACGAAAGTTACTATATCTGATATTAATTGGAGCTGACGACTCATCTAATGGTAAATAGATACCGACGTGTACATACATTTTTATCACAACGTATAACTTGGAAAGTGACGGCATTACATCTTCATGTATTGCCCGCTATACACCTCATGCTTTATCATTCCAGAGAACTGTGATTCTATGCCGCAATACCCTGTAATTTCGGTTCGATTGTCTAGTATAACACAAGCTTTTTTAGCTTGGGACTAGATGGCGCCGTGTTAATTGTTCTATATGAAGTACTTTACAGCGTTGTTTCAGGAAATATATTTATCTTCTTTTCTATCAAAAAGTACATAAAATCAAGAAAACAATCGTGGTAACTTACCCGGGGACCGGTGGCGAGTTGTACTTGACAGTGACTCCAGCGAACGGGTAATCATCGCAGGTGAGCACGAAGCTGAAGGTGAAGACAGCGGCGACGACGGTGGCCGCCACGCACAACTTGATGATGCCAGCGCACGCCAGCTGCCAGCGCTTCACCAGCCACCCGCCCAGGAACGTGCCTCCGCCGCCAGCTGGCACCGTGATCACACCTGGTGATGATGACATGCCACAAAGCATAATAAGTAATTTCATTATTCCCATTGTACAACTCATAAACCTATTTTTAAAGTATTCAGCCAAGAAGAAATGATTGGTATTGTCTTGGGGACAAATTATCTCCATAAGTATCTCCACCCCGAAAAGGTACAACTCCTTTTGTCTTTCCTGGTGAATTTGTCAGGATGAGCCATCTGACCCGATGTCATGCTGATCTTGTCCTCCTCCACTGATGCCCCACCAGCGTGAATCGTTAGCGCAGGCGGGTGCACCATTCCATTATCATCATGATTTAAAATCTGTCACAATCATAAGAATTTGATGTATGTATACCTAAAAGTAGAGCTGCCTCTGACGCACTAACTGCAAACTGGTTTTCAATAAGCTTCGGAAGGAACGCAGCGAAGCCCGATATGAGCATGCCCTCGCTGGCTCCAGCTAGATTGAGGAACAGGAACGTGGGGTTTCGAAGCAGTGCTGCAGCGGCGCGCGGCAGCTCGCGTAAAGCGCTGAATGCAGCGGACTTGGTCGCTGCACCTTCATGTGCTTCAGATACTTTGGAAGCCCGGATTTCTTCTGCACCTGAAGATCAAAGGAAGTACAGTAAATTAGATGACAAGATTTCTTTTTTATTCATGAAATTGTACTCGGGGCTCAGTAATAGTTTGCGCATGTAACCTTCTGAACCGAACCCCTTCGAACCCCTAGCGGTGCCCTCAGACTAAAGTCGTATCCGTCAGACGAGAGTTGGCCTTCAGTCGCTCCATAAGTCCGTCCGCGGGTTTGGAGTGCCATCTGCACTCGCCACCTATCGCCCGGTGAAGCTGTAAAGACCAGCTGCGGTCAACAGCTATAGAGTAATCCAAAACAATCGCATGTGGAAGATGATAAGATGAGAATTAGATCAGGCCAGTTAGTCCATCGTGTCAAATTCACTAGGAATTTGATGGTTTCCAGGAAGAACTTTATATAGTAAATTGCTAGTGATAGGTGTCACTTTTACCCATTACTAACAATCCCCACTCTCCTGCTGATGAGATCGCTGATGGTGCACTAGATAGGCGACGGTTATCTAGTGGACCATCAGCGTGTTTACCATTCCAATGACGAGTTCACGAGTATGACGGCCTCGGTGGTCCAGCGGTTTTACACGCTTTACTTCCGATGGACGCGGGTTCGAATCCCCGCACGATGTAATCATTTGTATTCATGTCAATCATATTGTTTGTATCAGTCTTTGTGTTTTCTATAGATATTACGTTACATACGTAAAAAAAAAGATATCATTTGTATTTATATCATTTGTCTAGTACCCATAACACAATTGTTATTTGTTATAAAAAAATGACATAAAAACATACTGACCTGGCAACTCGTGTGGGAATGCTAGCAATGGTATTGCTACGATGAGACACAGCACCGCCGAGAAGATGAATCCCACCCACCACGCGCCGATCCACACCGAGCTTAGAGGTGTTATGCCCATACTGCAACAATGCGAGAAAGTGTTCGTATAAATTAAATGGCGAATGAAACCGCGGGCAGAGATAGTTTAAACTAATATGATGAAAACAATACGCAGCTTACTTTGCATGCTGTACTTCGATTGTAGGATGTAGGTTAGGCAGTTTTTAATTTTGACTGGAACTGGCCTTTACAGCTTCACCGGACGATAGGTGTGAGTGCAGATGACACTCCAAGCCCACGGAAGGACTTATGGAGTGGCTGAAGGCCAACTCCCGCCTGACGGATACGACTTTAGTCTCAGAGCACCGCTACTTCGAACCTCGGCTCAGGCAACGCGCGTTTGAATTGGACGGGAGATCGACCAGAGGGCACTAGGCAGTGAAATTACAGGATAAGAGGCCTGATATATTAGTACTTTTTTTTTCTTTCCCTTTTTATTTTCCATTCATTTTTTTTTTCCTTTCCTCTTATTTAGGTTATGTTGAATTCTTTTAAATTCCTAACTATGTTTTTGATATGATCTTTGTATGTGTTTATTGTAACTTCATATTTCATAATATCCTGAATGTCGTAAGCCTTTGTTCTCATCATCGATGAGGCAATTTCATGATTGCTACGTGACGCAACGAAACGTGGGCAAGTTTTTATTAGGTGTTCAAATGATTGTATAGAGTTATTGTCGCAAGGGCACTCGTCTCCGTCGATTATACAAAAACGATGTAGATATTTGCGGTGATAACCATGATTTGTCAGATATTGCGTTATTTCGAAGTTCGGTTTAAATTTATCAATTACTTGTGCGAGCAGTTCATATGTGGGTATTAGTTTCTTGATGTATTTTGAGTTGTCTATTTCAGTGTATAATTTTCCTGTTTCTATATTGCTACGCTGACTATTGATATACTTCTCATAACTGATGGGGAACCTGTCGTAGTCCAATGTTTTGTGTAAGTGTGCAGCGCTTTTACTCTGGAATGGTAACCCATGAGTGGTACCACGGACGTAACAGTCACGTGCGTGGTGGTTCATGTGTATATAACCATTTGTCATCAAGTGGTTAATTTGTATATTATTCCAAAAACATACAAAAAGTTAGCTCCCTGTTGCGTTTTGTACAAAATGTGAACAATAGTATATTTAACATAATTTCAGCTGCTGATCTCTGACTATACCACCTGGCAGCAATGTCGTGAGGTTTTTTAGTGGCTAAGTATCCGTCGCACTCCATCATCTCCGCTTCGGGGTGAGTCTTTTGAATTTTTTTCACAAATAAGATCATAATAGCCTTATACGGTCGGCATCCCTGAAAACACCAGCACACCTCTGAAATATTTTGGACAGTATCACTTGATAACTTGCAACACTTATTACACTTAACTTATTTTTAACACATTTTTTTATTGGGTTGTTTGTACTATTTTTTTTTAGAAGATGATAATGGAATGGTGCACCCGCCTGCGCTAACGGTTTACGCTGGCGGGGCACCAGTGGAGGATGATAGAATGAACCTGAAGTTAGATCAGTTAGCCCATCGTGACAAATTCACCGGAAATTTATCACGATGGTTTCCAGGGAGAACCGCATGGAGGTCAACCTGACATGGTACATTGCTAACAATGGAGTCATAAATCCACATTACTAACAATCACCTTTCCCCCCTATTTGGGCTATTGTCAGGTGCCTGTAGCACTGCGCCCTACATAGAGCTATTGTGCTCGCCTTTTTCCCCCGTCAGGGACAAGAATTGAAGGATAAAGTCGAGAAGATATGTTTGTGATCTCATATTTGATAATGTAATAGATGTATTACATTATCACGTGTAAATTCCATACTTTATATAACAATAGAATTATATAACGGAAGGTTTATGAAAACCAACTAATCTCTATTTAATCATAGTCGGCAACTGTTTGTCTATCTGTCTTTACACATAATAAATAACGATAAACAAAGATAAAAAAAGTGATACTTTAAATATGATATTAATATTTGTTAATTGTTTAGACTATTCAACGTTAAGTTCAATAACAGGCTTTATGTTAAATTTAAATTAAGTAGCTATACAGAATTGTTCTATGTACCCGAGGATACATATAAATAAAATTGGAGTGTCTGTTTGTAATATTGAAATAACCGTTTTTTACTACATGCATATGAATATAAATATAGTACATACACAAAAATAACATTTTTTACAATTTTTGTCTGTATGTCTATCTGTTTGTTCCGGCTAATCTCTGAAATGGCTGGACCGATTTTGCCGGGACTTTTTTTGTCAGGTAGCTGATGTAATAAGGAGTAACTTAGGCTACTTTTATTTTAGAAATATAAAGTTAAATTACACGCGGTCGAGTCGCGTATTCAGCTAGTTTAGATATATAATTAATGTAATTTGACATATATGTATATAATAATATAAAAAAATCATGTTATATGAATATTAATATTTGACCGTTAGACCATCAAAGCTTTTTACTTTGAACTTCAATAATTTCTAGTATTGCGAGTTTCTTGCTAGTTCTTCTTAATTGAATGTATATTATATCTGCATAATATTAAAACAAAAAACTTGACGTTCATAAGCGGCTAAAAAGTCCTAAATAATTTTTGAAATAGAAATAGAAATAATCTTTATTCAAATAAACTCATTACAAGCACTTTTGAATAGTCATATTTTGATTCTACCACTCATTCGGAATGCAGATTCATCACAAGAAGAATGAGCAAAAAAATTTGTGTGTTGCTCTTTTGAATAGATGTTTTTTTATATAATAATTACAGTATAACAAGTAAGAGGCATGCGATAATCAACATAGAAAACGCTACGCACTCATTATTAGTGTTAATTTGATTAAATTTTATGTAAAGTAAATATCATAGAAGAAATATGAATCGCGCGATGCTGACTGTTAATTTTTTTTTAATTTAAAATTCTAAACTAATTTGTTCATGTAGGACATTTTAGCCGCTTAAGAACGTCAAATATTTTGTATTATAATTTTTGTCCTACCGTCCAGTTCAGTATACAAATTCAATTTAATAAAGTAAATATAATATTATAGAAGAAAAATGTGATTGTTCATTTTTAAAATTCAAAAATAATTTATTCATGTAGGACATTTAGCCGCTAATGAACGTATTTTTTTTCCTTACCGTCCAGTTCAGTATACCGATTCAATTGAATAAAGTAAGTATAATATTATGGAAGAAAAATGTGATTGTTCATTTTTAAAATTCAAAAATAATTTATTCATGTAGGACATTTAGCCGCTAATGAACGTATTTTTTTTCCTTACCGTCCAGTTCAGTATACATATTCAATTGAATGAAGTAAATATAATATTATAGAAGAAAAATGTGATTGTTCATTTTTAAAATTCAAAAATAATTTATTCATGTAGGACTTTTTAGCAGCTTATAAACGTAAAATTTTTTCCTTACCGTTATGGTCAGTATTCAGATTCAATTGAGTAAAGTAAACCATCACAGAAGAAATATGATCTCAACCGCGTAGGTACAGTGGTTGTGTTTTAATATTTCATCTGGCTTCATTCAGTTGCTCTCGCTTTCATCTCATTGTGCGCTTGAGCCAACTTTTCAGCCAAATTAATTCCCATTCTGTACTTCTATGGCCTCCGTAATATAACTGCGGCGCGAGTTTTCAACGACCCTGTACGACCTTAATTTTCAATTAAAATTTAATTTCCTATACTTATCATACTATGAGAAAATAATATTTTATTTATTACAGCCCTGTACGACTTTCATTTTCAAGTGGCCATCGTGGATATTAAAATTTAATAGAATTTAAAGAATCGTTACACGATACACCTAACTATATACTTATCATACTATGAGAAAATAATATTTTATTTATTACAGACAGTTTATTGACTACCTAATAATACAGTAAAGGTAAACTCTCGACTGTAGTGCAAAATCTTTAACCAGGAATAATAATATCTGCGTCTAATAAATGTAATACATGTTATAAGAGAGCACTGATATCTATAGTACACGTGTAATACCTAAAAGTAAGATAAATCCAGTCAGTAAAATGACATTACCAGTGTTGCAGGTTTTTAGTCCCAAATAAATAGTGATGTGGTAGAATCGAGTTTTTGCAATTAAAAGTTAGTCGAGATTACATTTTTTTTTATTCAATATCAAATTGCCTTTGTATAAATAAAAATTCTAGTATTAATTCCTCTGAATCTCTTTTTACATTTTTTCCCAGCTTTTTTAATAATGTTGTAGTGAGAAATTATAATATGCTGGTAAGGTCCATATTTCTAAAATCGTATTATTTAATACGATATGTATTAAATATTAAAAATAAAAAAAAAGGTTTTGATACCTAATATAATACCTAATAAAATAAAGCATGACTAAATGTCTAAGTCTATTGATTGCCGAACATCACTATTGTAGCGGGTCACCCTTTTTTGTTCAGTGACAGTTGCACTTGTCATTTTACTGACTGGAATTTATAATCGTACTTTAGTTTAGGATATCAGGATCCTCATTTTGTATTGCGTACCTGTCTGCCTTTTGATTACCTAGCTAAGGGGGCGTTCATTAATCACGTGATCTTTTTTAGCATCTTTTCACCCCCATCCTTGGTGAGACGTAATGACGTTTAGGATAACCTCCCCCCCCGCCCCTCAAGATCACGTGTATTTTAGTGCCTGCAAAGAATCTTAAAATTTTTAGAATATCATCTTTAAATACATGTATAAACTATAATTCTATTTTACTCTGAAATTGAGGACTATGATAAAAATATCTAGAATAGGTTGCACGTTGCTTTTGATTACCATAAAGACAGAAAAAAATAAATACACGTATGATATCTTACTAAGTAAGATACTCTCACTTACTAACGTACGTAAGTAAGATATCACTTACTATACTCCCCCACCTTCTTATGATATATCGTGATTTTTGTCAAATCCCCCTTTCAAGCGTCACGTGATTAATGACGTAAACAATCACTAACTACAACTATTATGTACTGGGGGGAAAAGGATTGTTAGTAATGTGGATTGATGATCTCATTGCTAGCAATGTACCATGTCAGGTTGACCTCCACGCGGTTCCCCCTGGAAACCACCGTGATAAATTCTTGGTGAATGTGTCACGATGGGCTAACTGACCTGACCTCATGTTCATCTTATCATCCTCCACTGGTGTCCCGCCAGCGTAAACCGTTAGCGCAGGCGGGTGCATCATTCCATTGTCATTGATAAAAAAAAACTATTATGTACTGCTCCTTTTAATGTAGTAATCTTGTGGTTGTACAAATAAAGCATTATTACTATTACCTTAATTTCTTTGCATTTTCTTTGAATAAAGACGGTGCTCATTTCACGACGTTACGTTTTGCAGTGCTAATATATACATATCTTAATAAACTGACTTAAAAAAAATAGGTTTAGTTCTCAATTAAATCTATATACTAAACTGGACGTTATAGAAAAAATATTAATACAAAAAATTTAACACGCATAAACGACTAAAATGTCCTACACGAATAAATTATTTTGATTTGCTTTGATTTTTGACTACGGGTAGTATTTTTCATTAAATGTGCTTTCAGCTTGTTTCCGAATCCGGTTATAAAAAAATGGACTTACGTTTCTGAGTCGACAGTGAGGAAATCCGTGTATATGTTGAGTATCTGGCCACCAAGGACGTAGCCCACTGCTGGACCGACCACTGCCATAGTGTAGTACACTCCTGCAATAATATATATACCACAGATAAGATATTTGGCATTATTTTTAAGAGTCACATTGCTGACGATGTTGAGAAATAGAAATATGTAGAAACAATCTTTATTCAAATAAACTTAATATCAGCACTTTTGAATAGTTACATTTTTCTTATCTTACCACTCATTCGGAACGCAGACTCATCACAACAAGAACGATATAGAAACTTCCGTATTGCTCTTTTAAATAAATGTTTATTTAAGTAAATACCTATGAACATGGTTTAAGAATGTGACAATAAACAATAGAAACTATAAATGTTATTCTAAATAAATGCAATTTAACAAGAATTAGGCATGAGATAATCAACATAGAAACCGCTAAGCACTCAATCTTTATGCAGTCGGATAATATTTGTCAACGCTATGAATTTAGATAGATAGATAAAAATGTTATTCACGTTAAAGGCACACACACACACAAAAGGCACTGTAATAATAAGAACAAAAATAAAACAGATATACTCATTACATTAGTGAAGTCAAACAAAATACAATACACAACAATTATACAGATAAAATAAAATGCAATACAGATAACAAAAAACGGTATGAGTAACGTAGTGTGTGCATAGCCCATACGTAAAAAGGCAGCACCTCAGTGTATTGTGTGTGTGTGCCCAGAGACATGTGTAACAAGACCACAGCTTGTAATCAGCCCTATTACATTATCATAAATATTAATATATTAAAAAAAAAAACTATAATAAAACAAGAAATAGGTATAACATATAGGCATAAAATATATAGGAAATTATTATCAATTCATATAATAAAATAAATATGAAAAACAAAAGAGAAAATAGAATTATTGCATAAGAGTGTGAAGTGAAAGAAAGGAGTGTTGAGTGTTGAGTGTTAAGTGTTACCACTATCAAGCAACCAAAACCACTAATCAAATATTGGGGAAAATTAAGAAATATATGTACATTATATGTATAATTTCTTCTTTTTTTGTATACAAAAACATTATTTAATATTTATTATATTATATAAAATTATATAAAAGCTTATTTATAAAATTAAACAGTTTATGAATAATATAAACTGTATAATTTTATAAATAAGCTTTTTTTTTTTACAAAAATAAATCTCTCTAATATAACCTACACGACTTACACTATATCACAACGATTTCTAAAAATAAAGTTTAATAATCTTCCTTTAGAAAAATAGATATTAAATTATTATATCATATAACTTAAAATAACAAGAAACAAAAACAAACTTGAATGGAATAAAATTATCATTCTAAGTTAGGGCAATATTATCTCAACGAAGCGGAGGCTAGCTTAGCTCTGCGGGCGGTTTAGTTTATTTATTTGAAATTATTAACATAAACAACTGCCCCGTTAGGGTATACTGAAGATTGGGAGTTGTACCCAGGATATATTGTACAGACAAGAAATCAAATGGACGATAAGTGAAATTAAATCTTATGCAATACTACAAAAGGTGTAAAACATCTTTTCACTTATTTTTCAACACGCTTGTAAAGTGGGTCTATTTCACCGGTTTTTTATATATAAATAGTGAAGTTGTATTCTGAGAATAATAGGACCATTTTTGATACCCATAAGTAATAAGGGTGTCACCACAATTTTTTTTATAAATTCTACAGTTTTTTTTTTATTAAACCAACGGAAACCTTGTTTGTAAGTAGCCATATTAATTTATATGGCAAAATAACATTTCCCGGTTCAGCTAGTAGATATAATATATATATGTAATATATAATATTATTTTATTTAATTCCACGCTACCATTAGCATGTGTGAGACAACAAATATTAAGTGCGGTAACCTGACCATCACTACTGGATGCGTTACGAGTGTTACGACCTTCTGTATTAGTGATCAAATTCCGACCGTTACTAAATCTACACCCATAATGCGAATGAAAGAACTTCATACTACCATGTGTTTGACAACACACAAAAATTAAACATATTAGGGTTGTCGTCGAGTAAAAAGTTTGCAAACATAAAAACAACAGAACCTACTTAAGATTCTCATCCTATTTGTTAAGTCGGTAAAATTTATTCTAATTTCAAGATTGTGGCTATTGAGTAAACACAATATATGCACCATGAATAGGGCCCTTACTGAACACTCCAAATTGAACAAACATATGGCAAATCTAGGCCTGTGCACAACGAAAATCTGCAGAGTTTGCCACATTAAGAGGAAACGCCACTGCACATCCTATATGACTGTAACCCACTCATGCATAAACAAAATGTCTCCTTTGGAAAGTTTACTCTCTATCCTGAGGAGATAAAAACCATCGCTCCTAAGAATCTCCTTCAATTCTTGTTCCTGGGTCTAGGAGGCGAACTCGGAAAAAGGGCGAGCATAATAGATCTATGTAGGTACCTGACAATAGCCCAAACCTCTCAATAAAAAAAATAAGTTGCAAGTTATTAGGTGATACTGTCTAAAATATTTCGGAGGTGTGCTGGTGTTTTCAGGTATGCCAACCGTATAAGGCTATTATAATACTTTTTTTGTGAAAAAAATTCAAAAGACTATCACCCCGAAGTGGCGACGAGGTAGCATGACGGATTCTTAGCCACTAAAAAACCACACGGTTACCTACGGGTGCCACTGTCGGAGTCGCGAGTTCGAGTTAAAATTCTACCACGACTCCGGTAGCGTTGGTCCGCCCTATAGATGGTAGGGCAGGCCCATCTCGTAGTTAGGGCGACCTACATCGCCCTACTCAAGGACATCCTATTACCGCCCTCTGAAATGTGGCTACAAGCGAGAAGGAACACTAAATATAGAATACTAACAGCCACATCATAGCCGCTAAAAAGTGTCGTGTAAGAGTTTACAAGCTAATGTACAAGTACGAGATTTTACCAAAATTTTATTTCTTAGAACGCGAGTAAGTAAGTAAGTGAGTAAGTAAGTAAGTCATTTATTCGCATTACAGACAGATATGCACATAACAATAAGCGCCCCAGTGACAGTAGTAGGCTGCGCTGTAATATGCCTTTTTTCAGTAGGCATGCAAATTTTATTAATAAACCTAATAATTACATATATTAATATCTACATTATAACAATTAGATTAATATTACAAATTTAAATTTATAGATTATTAGCATTATTACAATTATTATTACTTTATTATTATTTATAATATTTATAATTGAAATAATAAGTGTTATAAAGTTGGCAACCCTGATTGTTTTAGTATAGCAAACATTGGTGGATTGTTTTGTATTACGAGTATATCGTTTCTGGGGTACACTCACGACCCCTGTGTTTTCACAGTTAAAAGCTGCAACTTGGGAATGTAAAGGTTCCGATGTAGTGGCAGAAAGTGTTTTACTTCGCTTGTTAGAACTACCTACCGCGTTTCCATCAAAAAAAAAATACGAGTAGTACGTAATTGTGTATTTTTGTATATTTGAAAAAATGCTTTAAGCTATAAGGCCGCCCTATTGTATTTATACACATACTTTTTATTTACTAATTAATTATTGTACCTGTCTTCAATAATTGTATAATCTAAATAACGCATATTCTATCTATATATTATACATACTACACTGCTTAAGTTGAGCTTATGTTATGGGTACTAAATATCAGTTACGTAGTACCTACCCATAACATAAGCTCTGCTTAGCTTATATATAGATAATCTCTTTTTGTAAATACATATATAATATATATCGAAAACACCCAGTCCGGGACAAACATACTCATGAATATAAATGGTTACTCTGTGCGAGGAATCGAACCCGCGACCATCGGAAGTGAAGCGTTGTGTTAAACCACTACACCACCATTCAATACATCTTTTATCCTCACAGTGTGAGTGGCTCTCACACGCGGAAGTGTTTGAAAGGCGTTCTCACAAATAGCGACCGATATTAGTGAAGCTTGAAGACTATAGCAGCCGGATTTCGAGCACACGATCTATTTCATTGTTTACCAACTACTTTATATGCTTTTGTGAATGTTATAATGTATATTGGATTCAAACTGAATTATTCCGATTGTTTAGGGTTTAATAAACTGATAAAGTACGTAGATATTTCACACAAAAGAATCTTTGTTATAACTCAAATACTCACGGCTTTAAAACAAACAATAATAATTAAAAATAATAAGCATAGATGAAAATTAGGTAACATAATAAAATAAACTTCATTTTCATAGTAACTTATTTATTCCTTCATTGAGAAATAGTGGATTCATCATAAAAAAATCATATCCTATTTCATCCACTATAAGTATTATTTTCACGACAATATGTATACAATACTATACTAAAATTAGTGAAACAAATATTTATGTGTTTTGAACATTTTTAAAAAGTAATAGGGGGATTGGATTCATTTTGAAACGAAAATATTTTATTCAGTGCAATGTGCAACTTTGCTTGTAATTACATTATACTACGATGGTGACAAGCAAGCATACGGCCAATCTGATGTTAAACAATACCGTTGCCTATAGACGCCTGAAAAACCATTATAATTAGAGATTTAATACATACTAGTGGTCACTCATTGGGTGAATTTGTGTGCTCAAGTGCTAAAATTTGACAATATAAAAAAAAAAAACAAAAAATCTTTGAACCAACAATAACAAAAGAGTATATCTACGTGTGTGTGTCGAATACATGGTAGTTTGTGTAATGTATTTTTTTACTTTTTTATTCATAATTTAAAAAAAAAAATTTGATCTCCTTCTCTATATAGACTATATAGACTATAAGTGTATGAAATTTTATACCCCTCCATCCGCGCCATTTCGTACAAAGGGTATAAAGTTTTTGCTTCACGTATTAAAATGATTATTGTCATCCTTACTAATATTATAAATGCGAAAGTAACTCTGTCTGTCTGTCTGTCTGTCTGTCTCGCTTTCACGCCAAAACTACTGAACCGATTTAAATGAAATTTAGTACGCAGATAGTTTAGACGCCGAGGAAGGACATAGGCTACTTT